TTCGCATGACAGAAGTCCTAGGCAGTGCAGGCGGTGTGATATGGAAGACTACCGTTGTGAATGTCCGAGCTGCAAGAAGAACTCGGGCCAGAAGAAGCCTGGATATGTACTGACACCTGGCAAATGCAAGTTTGCCAAACCCTGGAAGCTACATGGCAATCATGGACAGGTGCCGCCGGCCCCTGCCGAACCGGCAGCAGGGCCTGAACCGCCGGCTCCTGCTGAACCAGCAGCGCTACCACCCGGGGCGCCAGCCGCACCACCGCTCGCACGGCTAAGAGCACCAAGACCCGGCTCTAGAGCCGGACCTACAGCGGGTGCAAGCAGTCACGATATTACAGTAGGCAGACATGCTGCTGAACCTGCTGCAGGGCAACCTGCCTCGAGTGGAGCTGGAGGTTCGGATGACCATCTCTGACTGCCACAGGTTAGAGTCAGACGTGGCCGACAGCGAGGTGGGGATGCACCTCCTCCGCCACCAGCGGGTAATCCTGCTGCGCGACCACGACTTCCAGACTGGTCACGGTTCGACGGACAAGTCAGTCTAGAAAATTTACGAAACCTTGACCCAAGCGTGGTAACATGCGAGTTGCGGAAGCTACACTTGCGCTGGTTCCATGCGAATGAGGTTAAGTTGAGACTCATCTTAATTAATATAGGTCTGGACAGCGTCAGACTCAACCTGATTAAAGGTGTCTGCGACGCATGTCGGGATTGCAGGGCTTGGGACAAGCCGGGCATGCCGTTATGACCTCCACTGCGCTGCCTGGAACATGTAACGAAGAAGTGGAATGTGACTGGATATTCGACAAACAAGAGCACCATATTTTCATATTATCGATCGTTGTATTCGATATGCCACTGGGAGGGAGGTGCCAGACAAGACGATGACCAGTATCCTGGATGCATATCATCAGTGCTGAATGCCGTTAGTACTTGCAAGGGTGCTCTACTCCGACGGAGAGCGCGCCCTCAACAACGACGCTACGACAGCGCTCCTCAAGGCAAAGGGCATTGAACTCAGGATACGTGCGCGTGGACAGCACGCTACGACGATCGAAACCAGAAACGGCATATTACACCATCTACCTCATGTCATGGAAGCTGAACTCAACAGGTTGGACATACCTCTTGTGTTTACACGACTACTACACGAGGCCTTGTTTGCCGCCAGCGCGTTCTCTTTCTACAACGAGGTGTCTCCATGCAACGCTCTGTTGGGGCGGCAACCAGCAATGCTTCCTGACTTACCTGTCTTGGACCACGAGCAGCCGACGGGAGCGTCGGATCATTCTCGTGAACAGACGATGCGCAAGGTATGCGTTGATGCTATCACACAGGCCACAGCAGTAGCTCAGACCAATCGTGCCTTACGCATTAAGACAACTGTCACTGGTCAGCATTACTACGATGCAGGAGACTTGGTCGGTTATCATCGCCCCACAACCACAAAGGACGACTGGGGGGGGCTGGGACGGCCCATCCCCAGTCGTAAGGAACGATCCCGACAGGGGCCAAGTCATCATTCGAGTGGGCAATCGCGATGTTCAGGTACATGATGCACGACATTGGCTCTATATTGAAGCGCTGATAGCCCGAGAAATTGGTTTCGGCAGCGCTGCGCTACGGACAGTGTAAACGTTCGTGGCCAGTTTGCCAGCGGGGAGACCTGCTATGAAATTCGGCTGTGCACCGACCAAGAAAGGGGCGCTTCAAATGACGAGTGCAAGCCATCTATCTCCTAGGTACACCCAGCCTTACAGTACCTTACTAGAAACTTCTTCCTCATCGAGAACGTAGTTTCTGTCGGGCTAGCTAAGAGTATCCATCGGCTACCTCCGGTTGCCTACGCTGGCAGCTGCACATTGGTCCATTATGACAACAACGTGAATCCAGGATTTCACTACTATGAAGCAGAAGGCACCGCGCTGAACATACACGACATAGCTTGATCAGCACGTTCGAGAATCATCCAATGCCTAAAGTCCACCAAACCTCAAGCATATTTTGACCAGGAAATGACAAGGTTTGAGGATTGGCGGATGCACCAACACCGGATGGAACCGCAAGAGAAGCCTCAGAAGCCGAACCACCACATGATGATGGATGGCTTTCCACGATCTACGAGGAATCGGAGGCTGATCTCGAGTCACATGTCATGGAAGTGTGGTATGCAGAACTGCAAGATGAAAAGGAACTGCTGGAGGCAACTCCACCAGAGGACCTTTTCGCAATGCCCGCGCATATGGTTCCAGACCAAAGTGTGCTGATCGCTGTAGCTGATGAACAGCGGGGGCACCTGCCTAAAGTGGGGGCGCATGCGCGACTCCGACACCGAGGAGACTTATCACGCCCCAATGTGTTCCATGGTCGAAGACTTCAGCTACGGACTGGACTCAGACGAACATGGACAGTATGTAGAACTCTGCTTCGCGGCAGAAATGTCAAAGGCAGTGCTGTCCGAGCAACAACACAATATACGAGATGCCGACCGTGTGACCACTATGCGAGTATATGGAACCGCCGCTGCAAAGCGAGCTGTGGTCGTCAAGGAAGACGACCTCCTCGCGAATGCTGACGTCCAGGCGAATCCCGAGAAGGTATCTAAAGCCTTCCACACTGAACTGAAGACATGATTTAACATTAAGAATTCCAAAATGCAAGACGTATCTGAAGCGTCAAACATCAGGACTTAGAGGTCTGTGTGCAAATGGAAGTTTGCGAAGAACGAGAAGGACGAGACGGGGCGGGACGGCAGGCGACGTCTAGTACTCCGAGGCTTCATGGATCTTGAACCCTTCGACGTAGAAGCCTTTTCGGGAACAGCGCGGCGGTCAAGCCAGACATTGCTCGCAAACGCGGCAGCGTGCAAGACGCAATGGGTCATGCTTCCCTCGACATCAACATGGCCTGCCTGGAAGGGTTGACCTTCCAAGAACTTGCTGAGGGAACTGGTGGAAAGGAATGCGTGGCGCGTTGTACTTTGCCGCCTGGATCGGCCGCGGCGCTTCGGACCCCCCCAGGCATCGAACGCTGCCGCGCGAGGGTTTGGCCTCCGACCCGCGTCCTGCGACGAGGAGTTCGGGGCGAGCAGCCACCTGCTTACGGCCAAACATGTTGATTATATTCATCTGGCTGGTACTGAGGGCACCATTGACAAGTGTGTCAAGTGTGTAGAAGACACGTTTGGCAAGTGTAAGCTCAACAAGCACACGTGCACCAAGTGTGCAGTGATATATACCAAGGATGAGGACGGTAATGTTACTTTCGGCCAATACGAATGCATCGAGCAGCTCCGTCCCATACAACATCCTGAACTTACTGGCGCCGACGCTGACGCTCAGGCATCCAAGATGGTTGCAGACATGTTCGCCAGCCTCAGGGGGGCGCTGGCGTATGCATTAATCACCCAGGTGTGGTTGATGGTGTATGTTGTATCTCTACGACGTGTCCAAGAGCCGACCAACATTCAATTGCGACGACTGAGCGCGATCGCCAGGAAGCTGCAGGCCTGCCCCAATGGGATCGTGTATCAGGCGATGACCCCTACGGGCGAGGTTGACCTGCACAGCGACTCAGGATACCCACGCCTGAGTGGAGATGCCGATGGCGACGTCGAAGGCTATTGTATTCGCGGGGCAAGCCTGCTACGGCGTGAAAGCACGCCATCTGGTAAACCTGTCGTCCACTTGCTCGATGCGCACTGCAAGTCTCGCCGCTTCCAGGTCCGCTCGAGTTATCCCGCAGAGACACTGGCAGCGGCTCATAATTTGGAGGACTGTTGTCCCGCGATTGCGACTCTGCGCGAGCTCCACGCAGGGCCGCTCACGCCCGCGCGGGGCCGCCCACGCCCATTCAGTTGAAAGACATGCTTGAGTTGGGTGGTCGGGCATCAAGTTCACTTTGACCATAGATGCTGAGTCTGTTTCTAAGTTTGTGTCAAGCAAAAACTTGAATAAGCCGACTGAGCGTGCCCAATTAGGACACATCAGTTGGATACGACAGATGATGGAACGTGAAATCGTGCACAGTATTCAGTGGTGCGACACCCGCGATCTGATTGCGGGCGGTCACACCAAGGGGGGCATCGACAGAGAGATGCTCCTACAGGTCATGGGAAGTATGCAGGCCTTCAAACATGGTTTAAACAGCCAAACTCCCTATCGGGCCGGCCAGACATCTGGTTCTGTAGCCGCCTGAGGAGTATCTTTAAGTACAGAAACGTACAGGAAAGGCAACTTGCGTGCGGGTCCACCTCCCTTATGGTCCGCCCTTTTTCTGTCCTTTTGTATATTAGCTGCTGTACCTGCTGTAAAGGGGCGGCGAACTCACGCTTCGTCTTCCCCCCCCGATTCTAAAGCGAGCTGAGGGACATAAGGAGGGGAAGCGAGCGTGTGCCCGCGGCCGCGTCGGCTCAAGCGGCCGGCTGCCCAGATATGATTGTGCCTCACCGCGAGGCACACGATTGCTATCGAGACCAAAAGGGCCTTCCTATTGTTTCGAATGGCACATCCTCTCCTACTGGGACCATCGTTACTACGGTACAACAGAGCTGGAACTCGGCTTCGCTTAAGGAGAAGCTGCTGGTTGGGTCTCCCAGCCCCTTTTCAAGCTCTCGAGGCACGGTGGTCATACAGGAGGTCATACAGGAGATTATCCGTGATATTTTACGGGAGACCATTTGCGGGGCGGCCATGTGGGGTACCATATGTGAATACCATACGGGAGACTTTACGGGAAAGCACATGGGAGACCCTGCAGGAAACCATACGGGAAAACACATGGGATACCACGTGCGTAGCCACCGATTCCAGATCTGGAAGGGCTCATTCGTGTCTTACGACATCTGAGACAAGTTGTTGAGGGAAATAGCACCTCACAAACGACGATCATGGACACATCCATGCCCTCGCGGTTTGTATATCCAAGGTGTGATCCTGTTGATACGCGATCCGATGGATACGTCTAGCGTGGCACTTCGGTGCACGCCTGCCTTGCAGGCCGACCGGCTGGGCCTCGAGGACGGCAGCGTCGACGCCTGGCGCTCGACCTCGCGCCTGCTGTCGGCGGCGCGGGCCGAGGCGCCACGGGGACGCTGTGTCGGTCGCAGTCAGTCGCCGCCGCCGTCGTCGTCGTCGTGGTCGTTGTCGTCGTCGGTTGTCGTTGGTCGTCGTCGGTCCTCGTCGGTCGGTCGGTCGGTCGGTCGGTCGTCGTCGTGTTCGTCGTGTTCGAGGTTCTGTGGCACCACCGTTCATTAAAATCATCTGTGGGGCGCTATCCTCACCTTAGCTGCACAGCATTTCATGCCGTTTGATATCTTTGCATCCGGAGCGCCGCGCGCCAGGCACAGTCTGGTTCCTCCCCCGTTGGCGGTCCTCTGTCATCCTCGGGCGTGCGGCCCCCCAACGGGGGTGGCGCCCGAAGCAGCGGCCTCTGCTTGTGCCAAATAGGTGGTGGATGCCCGTTCGTGCATCTAGCTGTTTATACCCAGCTATGCGTTCTTGCATATAGCTGTCTATACCCAGCGCTCCGCGTGTGCTTCAGAAAATAGCGAGTTCCAGTGAAGCTGCATTGCGTCTCGCCTCATTGAGCTCATCGGCCACGCGGCCAGGACAAAACGATATTTTGCTTTCTCGCATCTCGCTGTTTATACCCAGCTACGCGTTCTTGCATCTAACTGTGTATATTTGAATATTCCAATTGTTTGATGTCGTTCCCCTGGCGGCCTGTCTTTCTGTCTGGTGTCGAGCCTGTCGCGGCTCCTCTGCGTTTCGCCATATGCACACTGCTGTCGCAACAGGATGCAAGCGTATGCAATACACGAACGGCTGGCGTGCCAAAAGTGCCTGCTTGAGCCTCCTGGAACCTGTTGGTCGGTGCAGGTAGGTCCATCCGCGGTTGTGGAGGCCCCGGGCGCTCGACTTGAACGTGCAGTCTCCCTCCTCCCCCCCTCTTCCTCCGTCCTCCGCCTGCTTCTTCCCTCGCCCTCCTGCCTCTCTGGCTTCCACCCTGATGGAGCCGATACGTTCTCGTGGTGATTGTGTATGCCAACCAACGTGGAGCAGCGTGCGGTAGTCCCAATCACACCTCCATGTCAACGGGCCGCTGTGTGTAAGTCTGTGGACGGCCAGGCGCCGAGCAGCGCGACTCGACTTGAGGGAGCCGCCTCCCCTCCCTCTACCGTCCCTCCTTCCTCCCTGTCCTTTGCTTGTGTATGCCTACAGCTACACTCAACGAGTCGGTGATATTAGTCACCAGGGGCCTGCTGGCCACACTTGCGCTGGCGCCAGGCAAAGGCTGCTGACACGTTGCGCGGCCGATTTTTGTGATTTCTCGTCCTTCCCCTTCTTTCCTCGTGTCTTCTCAGAGTCGTGCGGGGGATTCTGTGCGCGCGCCGCCCTCCCATGCCGGTCTACGCACACGCGAGTTTTTGAATTGCATCTGATTCTGCCCCCTGTTTCCTCCTCTTCCTCTTCTTCTGTCTCCCCGTCACTCCTCCTCTAGTCTTGGTGACTTTGTCTTGGACGCGCGGCAGGGTGCCAGCTGCGACCGCTTAGATTGCCACCGGGTTCTCTTCATCACGGTGCGAGTCTTTTTCTGATCAGTGCTGTGCGCGAGTGTGGTTTGGTCTTCGTCGCGTTATTGGGATAGCCCTCCAGAAGGGCAGCGGATTTGTCGCTTCTCTTTTTTTAGGAGGCGGAGGAGGAGCAGGAGGAGCAGGAGGAAAGCGCGGAGGCGGAGGAGCCCACGCACAAGCAATATTCGATCAGGAATCACGTAGCACCCCGCAGATGCGGATAAGAGTGAGGGGACGGTGGGGACGTCGGCAGTTTGCGAGACTGGAAAAGCCCGCCGCAGGCGCCAAAGTTTCACAAATTATACAACGAGCCCGCCGCAGGCGCCGTTTTCAATGTGGGTAGGTCGCGGGTGGGTCGCAAATGGATCGCCGGTGGGTCGCGGGTGGATTGCTGTTGGGTCGCGGGTGGGTCGCGGGTGTAGAGGGCAGAAAATCCACCCCATAGTAGCCACCCCGACAAGCGAAGCCGTTTAGTAAACGCACACCAGGAATGAATCGAACAGGGCAGGGGCGTTTAGTCAACGCCCCGGGCTGTTTAGGAAACGTCAATTGTCGGGTCTGGGTGGTTTTTCCTCCCTTGAGGGTGGGTCGCGGGGTGGGTCGCGGGTGGGTCGCGGGGTGGGTCGCGGGTGGGTCGCGGATGGGTTGCGGGTGGGTCGCGGGGTGGGTCGCGGGTGGGTCGCTGGACGGGTCGCGGGTGGGTCGCGTAGTGGGTTGCGGCTGGGTCGCGGGGTGGGTCGCAGGGTGGGTCGCGGAGTGGGTGCGGGGTGGGTCGCGGGGTGGGTCGCGGGGTGGGTCGCGGGGTGGGTCGCGGGTGGATCGCGGGTGGGATGACGACAACAAACAACAACAATAACAACAAAAACACCAAAAACAGCACGAACAACAAAAACAACACCAACCACAACCACAACCACAACAACAACAATAACAATACTTGTAACAATAACAACAACAACAACAGCAACAACAACACCAACAATAGCAATAACAATAACAACACCAATAACAACAACGCAACAAACATCATTTTCACCAAGAGTTCCTGATCCAGCCACGCACCGTGGGACAATGAATGATCGTTCGGCCCCCTCACTCTGATTAGCGGCACGAGAAGCAGTAACGGCAACACGAATATTACAGCACATATAACCCACGATACTTGCTAGCTACCACGAAGAGACTGCAGCCAATCTCGTCCTTGGCAATACAAAAGAGAACTTGCAAACCGTCAGCCGACAGTACCAGCCACAACTGACCACTGCAGAGCAATGCCAACAAGGCACCGCATTCCAACTCAGAAAACGACAGCTCCATATGGATATGTACGAAAAAGCACAAACGCAATCGGAACAATGACACGAACAAAAATGATCCCAGTGCGACCCTACCTAGGAGTTGGAACCCCTAGGAAAGCAGCATTAGTAGTAACAGTAACGCAAAGCTAAAGCTAAGCTAAAGCTAAGCTAAAGTTAAGCTAAAGTTAAGCTAAAGTTATTCTAAAGCTAAGCTAAAGCTAAGCTAAAGCTACGCTAAAGCTGAGCAGCAGCTAAGCAACAGCTAAGCTAAAGCTAAGCTACAGCTAAGCTAAAGCTAAGCTAAAGCTAAGCTAAAGCTAAGCTAAAGCTAAGCTAAAGCTAAGCTACAGCTAAGCTAAGCTAGAGCTAAGCTACACGCTAAGCGAAAAGCTAAGCGAAACGCTCAGCTAAAGCTAAGCTACAGCTAAGTTAAAGCTAAGCTAAAGCTAAGCTAAAGCTAAAGCTAAAGCTAAAGCTAAAGCTCAGGGGACTGGGGGGAACCGCTCCCAGGGGGCTGGGGGGAACCGCCCGGGGCGTGTAGCACGTCCCGGCCCCTTTAAGCTGAGAGAGTAAGAACCCTTCTAGGCAGAGCCTAGGTAGGGAACAAGCATGGCTAGAAGAGCTACCACGACAAGCACAACCACATCACCAACTACAAGCACTGCCAGACGACCAAGGGCTCGAGGAGGACATGCGGATCAACCAACTCGTCGACTTCGAGCACAGCACGATCGATCAGGAGCGACAGCGCACGCAGCGCATCCAAACGCAACAAGCACAAGTGTAATACTACATACAACGACTACAAGACCAGTTGAGCGACATCATCGACGCGCCACGTTCAGATGACACGAGTGGAGACGACCTGCACATAGCACAGTGCGACGAGAGCACACGAGAGCCGATTTAACCAATGCATGCCGACATGACCATTGACCCGACCCGAGAGATGCCAATTCATCGCTGCGCCAGAGCCTGCCACACCCAGAGCGCCAATGCGGATGCCCACGTCGCCCACGCCGACCAAGTCCACAAGTGAGCGCGACCTATTACCGGACACGCCAGATCCTAGAGCAGCAACCACTCACGACGCGACGCGTGGCCGCGCACCGAGATATTTCAACGCCACACAGCAGCAATCCGATGCAGCCCAACAAACATGATAATAATGATCGGTACAGAGTAAGGTCATGATCCACGCTGCGACGCATGACAGACCACGAGCCTCCCACTCACCCCCAAGAAAGCTCACCACAGCACAGCCCACGAGCAACCCGACAATCTACAGTTATGCCCGCCAGTCCAGGCACGCCACGTACTCCAAGTACTTGATCTTGACTCGGCTAAACACCTGGCAGGTTTCATTTGCGCTGACTCAAGCTTAGTGACGCGCAACCCACTAAGCGGAACGGATGACATTGAGCAGAGACCTTTCGCCACCAACGTCGCCGTAGCAGCAGCCGGCCACAGCGCCCACCGCATTCAGCAGCCAATTCCCACGTCCATTATTCAAACCATCGCCGACTCCCATTCAGGAATTTGAGTCAACCGCGACCTCCAAAATCTGGAGCTCCACCCAGCGACCAGGGCCGCGCTACCTCTCTACTCAAGACAGCCCCAAATAACCAGCAGCTTGCAAATTTAGCCTGGTGGCTCACTTCAAACGCAGAAGGACGCGCCCGCCTGGGCCTTTGCAGCAGTCCAGCAGGACGGCTACCAAGCAAGCTACATAAGGCACGGCTCAGGTAGCACTCCGCACAGCATACACAACCACATTGACTGCGACTGACTCGACAGCGTCAGCATTGAAGTGGCAACCATCATCCTGGCGACGATGCACGCAGCCCAAAATCCACCGCGCATCGACGAGCGCATCCATGCGGACACAGCAAACGCAATGCACTTACTCGCGCACCTACAAGACGCGATCGAGGCAATCGCAAGACTAGCGCACGTAATCTTCCACTCAGCCAAACAGCAACACCGCGTATCCTTTCACCGCGCCCGCGGCCTTGGCGACCGCCCGTGGAACGAGCTGGCTGCCACTATAGCCAACCGCCATGCCATCGCGCACTCGCAAGATAAAGTCTTCAGAACTGCGCGAACATCAGCGCAACCCGACGCCGCCGTGCAAGCGCTCTTGATAGGCCGCCCGCGCATCTACTGGACACAGCTCAAACCAACCCATAACCACGACCATTGTGCA